GCCGCCCCCCCCCCCCCCCCCCCCAGTGACCAGTCAGCGACTGGGGGGCCAATCTCACTGACCGCAAGGGGGAGGGGGGTCCCTTGCAGCTGATCGCAAGGAGGCCGATCGCTGCAGCTGCTTCCAGGAGCACCTCTCCCTGGCTGGCACTCACAAGGGGGGCACCAGTGGTCCCACCTGCCTCCCTGCCCATCGCCTAAGCGGCAAGTGTGGCTAGTCAGGGGGTGCACTGGCGCTCTCAGGGGGTGCACATGCACCCCCATGCACTCCCTATGCATCACCACTGCAGCCAGCTCCTCCCAACTCTTGATATCAGTATCCATTGTCTTGAGGTATGCCTTCAATGTGTCCTTGTAGTGTTTCCTTTGGCCACCACAAGATCTTAGGCCATGACTAAGCTAGGAGTAGAGCACTTGTTTTGGGAGTCAAGTATCCACACACAATGTCTGGTCCAGTGAACTTGGTGCTTCAGGATCACTGACTCAATGCTGGCAACATTGACTTCAGCAACGATGCTGGCATTTGTGCAGTAATCTTTCCACTTGATGTGGAGGATTTTCTGGACACATCATTGGTGACATCTCTCCAGGCTCTTCAGATGATGATGGTAGGTCATCCATGTTTCACAATCACAAAGGAGAGTGGGGACTGCATTGTAGACCTGAATCTTGTTGCCTTCCTGAAGATTGCAATGATTGTACACCAAAGCAATTTCTCAAAGGAGGCATTTGCACACCAAATCCTGTGTTGGATCTCCTCATTGGTGTTCTGAGAGAGGTGGCTACCAAGGTAGGGGAAGTGATCAATTACCTCCGGGGTCTTTTCCTCAATGTAATTTAGGGAGGGGAATCACATTCATGGCCTGGGGAAGGCTAATAGAGCACTTTAGTCTTCTCAATGTTGAGTGAGAGAGACTCAAAGTTTGGAAGGTTTCTCTGAAGAGATCCAACACAATCTGGAGGCTTTCCTCAATATGCGCAAGGATGATGCAGTCATTAGCATATCGAAGGTCAATGATGGTTGTTTTGAGTACTTTGGGCTTTAAGCACAAACATCCCAGACTAAAGAGCCCTCCATCTGTTTGGTATTTAGTGTTAGTTCCAGAAGGAAGGCGGTTCTCTTAATGAGAACCAGGATGACTGTCAAAAAAATTGATAATAAAGTTGAGGCAACGAGGCATCCTTGCTTGACATCAGTTCAGATGACAAATGGATCTATCTCTGATCTGCTACAGAGAACAGTCACAGTCAACTGGTTCTGGAGAGGCCTCAGGATCTTGCTGTACTTTTCAGAGCATCCAAACCTGACCAGTACTTTCCATAAGGCTTTGCGATTGATGAATCAAAGGTCGCAGGAAAGTCAATGATGGCCATATACAGGTCCTGATGTTGTTCCTAAAACTTTTCTTGGACTTGGCGGGCAACAAAGATCATGTCACTTGCCCTATGCGATGGTCTGAAACCACAATGAGATTCTGGCAGGATTTCCTCAGCAAGCGGTAGGAGATGGTTCAGGAGGATACGAGAGAGGATTTTCCCTGCTGTGGAAAGGAGGGCAACACTTCAATAGTTCCCACATACAGACTTAACTCCTTTCTTGAAGATAATCTGATGTTGACATTCCTTGGGTCTCCAGGGAGTTCTTTGTTGTTCCAAATTTAAAGAATAAATTTGTGGAGTCTCAGTACCAGTTCCTCACCACCAGCCATGTATATTTCAGCAGGTATGCCAACTGGTCCAGTAGCCTTGTTGTTCTTGGTTTCCTTGATGGCATGCAAAGCTTCTTCCAGGATAAGAGGGTTAGTGAGGGTTCCCTTTCAGGGTGTAGGGGGATGGACTCAATGGTGGTATCCATCATAGTCGACTCACGGTTCTGGAGTGCCTCAAAGTGTTCTTTCCCTCTAGCTTGGATAAATTATTTTTCTTTGAGGAGTGTTGAGCCATCCTGTGATGGCAGGAAAGTAGGCCCATGAGAAGTTAGGCCATAGATGACTTTCATTGCCTGGAAAAGCTATGAAAGTTGTGTTTGTCAGTATAGAGAGAGCTGGATCTCCTTGGCTTTTATCTTGCCACCACTGATTCTTGCTTTTTTTATTTTATTTCCAGCAATGTCTCCATGTAAAGCTCTCTGCCCTGTCCACAAAATGAAGACAACATTTCAGAACTCTTGAAGGGGTTTAAAACCATCATCCATATGGCCTGTGCTAAATCCATTAGCTAGACCACCCCTTGACACCAAGACTGGTTTGATGAGAGCGACACTGAGATCCAAACCCTCCTTGACTGAAAGAGTAGGGCTCAAAGGAGGATCCAGGAAATTGACTGCCAACATATGACACCTATAAAACATGCCTGTCAAAAGCTGACATCTGTAAGAAGCCTGGCCCTTGAAATACATCAGCTTAGAAAAAAGTTTTCTGAAGAGAGAGTGTGAAAATGAATATTTTGCTAAAATAGATAGGCAGTCCCTTGTAAATAAAATGTAGCATATATATAATAGCATAGTGAGCTGGGTATTGTTACGTGCTCACTTCCATGTACTCAGTGGTGGAGGCTAATGCTTTTGCATTAGGAGATCTGAGTTCTTAGACCCCTGCTGCTATGAAGTTTTGAGGGGCTATCATATGCAGAACAGTAGCAGTTGTGAATGGATGGCGGCCATGGATTACCTAAATCTATCTATGTGTAGTTCTGTGCTGCTTGGAAGCATGCTTTCACATATCAGTCTTGGACGTGAGGTGGTAAAAGTCCATCTTGCAGCTGTTCTTTAGATTTCTGTTGTTGGGAAACTTGAGAGGTAGGGGATCCCCTAGAGTGGCTCCACCACCTCATTTCCAGCATTGATGTTTGCACAGCAGAAGCAGCATGTACAGTACCCCTGGGCAATGGGTAGCAACCCAGATGTGGGCAGCCCAGATATTGTATAGGATCACTGGGTTGGAAGGGACTTCAAGAATCATCCAGTCTAACTCCCTTTGCAGGTCAGGATGTGCTGTTCCTAAGCCATCTCAGCTCTCTGGCCCCCTCTTGAAAATCTCTTACGAAGGAGATTCCACTGTTCTGCTGCTCTGATAGTAAGGAATGTCTTCCTAGATTTGATCTAAATCTGCTCTGTGGCAGTTTATAGCCATTGCTTTGTGTCTTGCTCTGTGGTATGAAAGAGCAGTTGTTCTCCCCTCTTTTTCATGGCAATCTTTCAAATATTTGAAAACTGGTACCATGTTGTCCCCTCAAAGTCTCCTTTTCCGCAAGCTAAACACACCTAGCTTTTTCAATCTTTCCTTGTATGGCTTGCATTTCAACCCCTTTATCACGTTTGTTGCTTGTTTCTGGACCCTCTCAAGTTTCTTTACATCCTACCTATAATACAAAGCCAGAACTGCACACAATATTTCAACGGAGGCCTAATTTGTGCTGAGTAGAGTGGATACCATTACCTCCCATAACTTACATGTCATATGTCTATTGATGCATCCCAAAATTACATTTACTTGGTTTGCAACTGCATCACATTTCTGGCCCGTGTTGAGTCTGATATCTGCCAAAATCCTTGGATCTTTTTCAGGAATGCTACTGCCTAGCCAGTTATCTCCAACTGTGACTACATTTGTTTTTTCTTCCCGAGGCTGCTGCAAGTGTTGGGGCACTTTAGATGCTATGTCAGCTCTCCTAGTTGAGTTGCTTTGCATCATTTGTGATTCTTCAGGCAGACTGACCTGGCGGCGCCCATCTCCTCTCCAGGTATGGATGGCTGTTGGCTTGCAGGGACCTCATCTACACCTTGACAGGCCTTGTTTTAAGTCCTGCTGGGTGTCCACACACTCTCCTCACCCCGACTGGCCCAGGGGGAGGTGCTGATTTAGTTGCTGACAACCCGACCTTAGAACAGGCTGTACTGGTTTACATGGTACCAAATAGCAGACCAAGAGAGGCCTGGCTTGACAAGGTACTATCTACCTGATCTCTTCTAAAACTCTTCATTCCACAGATGGTTAATGACCATCTCGTCTTGGTAATGGTGGTGATATCCCACTCATCAAGTTGGCTTCCTCCTACCCCTACTCACAGGGCCTGCCTCTGCAGCATGGTACCTAGCTAACTGGGCTCCTGAGTCCAAGGGCCTGGGCTCAAGCCCTATGGCTGGAGTCCCACTGCTGCGCTGCTCCTGGTTGCACAGCTCCTATTTCACAGCCTGTCTTGAACACAGTCCAATGAAGCTCTATTGAGTTTTGCTCCGAACTTAAAGGAAATGCAGGGAAATCGCAGGGCCTGCACCCCTGGCCCACAAGCAAAGCTTCTACTTCCTTTTTACTTGGAGGAAAAAATACGGGCTGTGCTCCAGGCAAAGCCAGACACAGGTATGGGCGAACCGAGTATCTGCCCAGGGCCCGGACAGAAAGGGGACCCGAAAATGGTAATTTTTATTAGTATTATCATCATTATCTCTGGTGAAGGGGGCTGGCTCCAGGTGACGATGCCCCTCACCCCATGCACCCAATTTCCCAACCCCTCTATCCGCTTCATCCTGCTGCGCTGGGGCTCTTGTCCCAGCATCTCCTGCAGCAGCGGCCAGGCACCCTGGGCTAAGCTGAGGTACCCCCCCCCCCCCAGGGCAGTGGGACGATCGGGCCCATCTGCTCTTTCCAACCTATTTAAAGGGGGTCTTTGAGGGGTGGGGGGCTGAGTCCTCGCCCCCGGGCTGCGCTTCCCACTGTGGGGAGCCCACAGTGGGAAGCGCACAGTGTGA